AATCATGTGTTGCATATGGTTTGGTAAATGGACGGCCAAAAGTCTTAACATGCTTTTGAGACCGATAAATTAGCTTCAAGTTGCCAAGCTTACTAACACGAGGAATTCAAACAGTGGACCAACGTATTAGAAAACCTATTAATTTGTAAACTTATATGCCAAAAATGAGAAAACTACTAGTAGTCGGCTATCGGAGATTTGGCTTTTTGCTAAGTCAACAATTACATAGCTAAGCTATCTTAGGCATGCACAATATTATACTCATACAATCTTAACAAAGCTTTTCGATATCCGATGAAATGGCTGGCTTCAAGTTCTTAACTTTTCCAGCTCATGAAAATGAAAAGAAAAAAGCAACCTATTATGAGGCAAACCCTAAACCCTAAAGCATCTATAATGAGCTTCCTAAACCACCCATTTAGACAAAATTTAAGAAAAAATTGAAGAAACACAACTCCAACCATGCTCAAAGAGTACTAAGTACAGTCGGTCGTAAGATTTGTTTAGTTAATTATGAGACAAAAACAAAAACAGAGACTCTTCATACGTATTTATATATTTATATGTTGCATTAATTAATTTCTTCTCTTTTACGATGTGACATACGATCGACTTAATTATTAAATAACTGAGTTAAGATTAACTAGTATTTGACCCAAATATGAAATGTCAAGTACGATCCAAACATGACACAACAAAACTCAAATGCGATCACTTTTCTCTCATTATATTTTGTGGATTTTACAAGTATCATAATTATATGGCAAACTAGATGATTTAACTGTTTAGAAGTGATGTTAAAAGCGCTTTTACATCATCCAAACCATTTTTCAAAGCTTTTGGGAACAATGCTATAGACCGAGAGTAAAAGTGCTTCCTATACAAACACGCTTCTAAAACAGAAATTCCGGTTGTAGTGTAGTGTACACACACAAGTTGGTTTGATTCTGTAAGACAGGCACATCCGGCCCGGTGGTTATCTACTCACTAAAAAACCAATCACTCTCAACTACAAATTTGTTAAGTTCTATTTATTAAACCAAAATTAACCATTCATTAAATGTTAATTTATACGTACTTATCGATTACGGGCACTAATCCCACCATATCTATGAACCTTGGATATCTAAAAACTACGGGATCCCAAGATTTGTCATTGTAAGACTAAATTTCAAACCCTAAAACCAAGGCTGAGCTCACATGCATTGGTTCATGTTCCTTGCTAACTACGATATATATATATATATATATATGTATATGGTTATGGTATGGGTTAAGATAACGTATAAGAAGGTTATTGATGATGGTGATACAACCCTTGGTGCATGTGAACAGCTTATTTCCCCCACACTTCCGTCACACGGTGCCGTAATAGTAGCGTTAAGTCATCAAACTTTTTATAATCGTTATCACATTTTGAGTGTTGAATTAGGTTCCAAGGTATTATAGGAGTTCAAACATAAGACTAATGGTCGACAAGTTATGTCTCTTTTTCATTTGGTTAGACTTCGTTGATGTGTGTTGATCGAACTTTAAATAATGACAAATATAATAAATATTATACACACATTTATCCAGCATGGCATTGTCGGGCACTCCATGTGTGCAAACCCTAAATATTTCATGTATATAAACCCCCAAGGGTTTCATTGAACTTTACCACATTCAAGCCTAATTAGGGTTTTGTTTTTGGGAGAGGGAAAATGATGATGAGAAGCCAAATATCATTTGTGTTTCTTGTTCTCCCATGTTTGGGTCTAGTTGCTCTGAGCTTGTGTCTAGGGTTTGTGAGTGCTGCCTCTTCGTTGCCACAGCCTAACAAGTTGACTTGGCATTATTACAAAGTCCATAATACTTGTGATGAAGCAGAGATTTATGTAAGGCACCAAGTGCAGTTGCTTTGGAACAAGGATAAAACCATCACCCCCAAGCTCCTCAGGTTGCTCTACTCCGATTGCTTCGTCACGGTATGTGCTTCTAATCATTTCTACTCAGCTTTCTCCTCCTCATTGTTTCTCAGATCAATTAAATTTGTGTACGTGTATCTTTGTTTTTGTGGTCAAAGTGAAGCAATGAAAACTTTTCCCTTTTTCGATCCTTGCTCTCATATGGAGTCACCACTTTGGCCAGCACTTTACCCCTTACGGGCCGACCCGGTGTGAGCGGGGATTAGTCTGGGTTGTAGTTAAGGCTTAAAGGTGCCACCCATAGTTGGGGCCCATCCAGGACCACCTCGTGGTTCAAACCAAAAAAAAAAAAACTTTTCCCTTCAGCTCATGTATGAATTAATTAGCTATTTAAAACGATATTAATTCACACAAAAAAAACAAAGTGAAAAATTCCCTCCGGCTATATGTTATTCTTTTTTTGGGGTCAGAAATTAGCTTCGTCTTAGCTCTAGTGAAGTAGGACAAACAGTACATTAATATCTGGTTCCCTGCTTGCTATAATATATTACCACAATTTTTCTACAAAATATATTTAATTCACTTTAGTGGTAAACCACCTTTGTTTTTCCTATATTATATTTTCTCTATCCTTTTTTTTTTTTTTCTTTTTTTTTCTGGGATTATGGAAGCCTCTTAGGAAGATTAAAATACCCTTCCCTTACTAATTAATCTGATAATGCTTATAAAATTTATTGAATTTTAAAAATAGTTAAATGTATGTACGAATTAATAGATTTATTTTATACATTGAAAATGCAGGGTTGTGATGCATCAGTGCTCCTTGATGGTCCAAACTCAGAAAAAACTGCACCACAAAATTATGGGCTTGGAGGGTTTGTTTTCATCGACAAGGTCAAAAGTGTTCTTGAACAACGTTGCCCTGGTGTGGTCTCTTGTGCTGATATTCTCAACCTTGCCGCTAGAGATGCCCTTCATTTGGTACCATTCTGACCTCCTATAATTTTTGGTCCTGTAGTTTGTTGATTTTATCATTTTGATCCTTGTAAGTTTTAAATTCAAGCGATTTGAGAACATGTTATAAATTCTGTGACAAATTCTGCCATATCTCATTCTTAAAATGTAACGAAATTGGCAAATATGTCAGAATTTGTAACGTGTCTTTAAATTGCTCATGATTTAAGACTACATGAATAAAATTGATAGAAATGAAACTACATGAGCCATAGTGCGGGCAAATCGAATACTAAGAGCAGTTCCAGCAACTTGGGTTGGGGGGGTTGATGAGGGCCCAAAAACCGTTTCCAGCAGCAAGGGTTGGCCAGGGTAGTTGTTGGGGCCCACGAAACCAGGCCAACCCTCAGGCAAGATGAGCTTGAGTTTAAGCCTGGGTTTGCTGACGTCAGCAACAAAAAAAATTTTAAAAAAAAATTGAAAAAATTCTACAAAAAAATTCAGATTTAAAATAAATAAATAAATACTTAGTCATAGTTTTCACTTCCCAGACCAAACTCTATACAAATTTCTCTTCTCATATGTCATGTGAATAGTTGTTGCCATGACAATGAGTGGAAACACCACAACCTTTTGCAATGGGCAAACTGGTGGAAGTGCTCTAAAAGCGACTTGCTATTAAAACTAATTTTTATCAAAATTCAAAGCACTAATTTTTTTATTGTATTTATTACTCTCAATAGGCAGGCGCACCATCTTATCCTGTTCTTACGGGAAGAAGAGACGGCCTGACATCTAGCAAATCATCCGTGGATCTTCCCTCACCGTCCATCTCATGGCAGGCTGCGCTCACATACTTCAAATCTAGGGGCTTGGATGTATTGGATATGACCACTCTCCTCGGTAAGAAACAGAAATTAGGAAAATGACAGTCACCAGTCCATTTTATACATCCAAGTCCGGCCCACTTTTTTGTTTTATGTCTTTTATTTTTTGAGTACAAGCGCTAGTCTAAACAATAAGGAGATGGGTTTCTCATACACACACTACAGCAGTACCATGGGGTTCGAAACTTGAAATCACTAGTCAACAGTCAATGCATCTTTCCACTCTGCTAGACAAATTGGTTGATGATTTTTTATATTTTAAATTCATTATTTATTGCATAAAATTGCTTTGAACGCAGACAAGGTGGCATGATCGAACAACTGTTGAAGCGAAACCCTTGCTAAGATTTAGTGGCTTGTAATGTGTGTTGTATTTTAACCGGCAATGTCTACTACTCATCATGTCACATGGCATTCCATTACGGGACTTTCATTCCATTACGTTACGAAAGTCCCGACTTAAGTTTTTTCTCGATTTAGCGCAAATAGTGTTGAACCCTCCTCCGCACGGGAATTAGGATTTAGGGTTTAGCGCAGTTTGGTTAACGGTTGCTTAAAAACTTATAGCGAATGATATATGGACTTGAAAATTGAAGGTCCGAAAGCAATTGACTTTGAAGATGCAAAAGCCTGGTTTTTCTGGTTTTTCCGGGTTTCTACCTTTAAAATGCATTTCTGATAGTTTCTCTTTGTCAGGCGCACATTCAATGGGCAAAACACATTGTCGTTACATTGTTGATCGGCTGTACAATTTCAATAACACGGGAAAGCCAGACCCAAGCATGGAACGTTCATTCATATCCGACATGAGAAGGCTTTGCCCGCCGAGAACAAAGAAGGGGCAGAGCGACCCGCTGGTGTATCTAAACCCAGGATTCGGCGCCAACCACACATTCACAGAATCCTACTACTCTAGAATCCTATCTCACAAAGCTATACTTGGAATTGATCAACAGCTACTGTATGGTGATGACACTAAGGAAATTACCAAAGAGTTTGCTGCCGGTTTTGAGGACTTTCGGAAGTCATTTGCTCTATCAATAAACCGGATGGGAGCTTACCAGGTTTTGACAGGAAACCTGGGAGAGATACGAAAAAATTGCCGAATTCCAAATAAGAAGTAGATGGCAAATAATGCGTGATCATTTAGCTATTAAAAAAGGGCCAAAATGGTCATCAAGGTGGCATTGTTTTGTGATGGTTGAGGAATAATTAATGACCTAAAAAGTACATTTCTGATTCACAAATAAAATTATCAAACAAAGTTTCTTAGGTTGACTCTCAGCATATGATATTTTTGTATAACTGTCAATAAATCTCTCCCTCAAAGTAATCACATTCTCAAGTCCACAAGATATCAGAACTCTCAGCACCAAGTTTGCCCTTCAAAATATGATGTTAATGAAGATTACAAGATTGAGAAATAGTCATGTTCGTCAAACCTGTAACAGGTATCCGCTAAGCAGTCAGACCTCCATGCACGAAAACAGACACACTTCTTCCCTCTTTAGAATCTCTCTGCTGACTTCAAAATGAGGAAGAGAACAATATAAGCTCTGACAAAGACCAGCCAGGGAAAAAAAATTGACTCGGGCAAAGATTAAGTGGAAATGTACAAAGGAAATAAAGGCATATGCTCTTTTTCACAATCATTTTAGGGACAAATTGGGTACTGGAAATAATTGGCTTGCTCTAAAGTTATAAAAATAAAATAAAATACTGTGAATAAAAAAAAAAGAGTAAGGGAAACAGTTAATGGTTCTCAAGCCCATAATTTCAAGAACAAATTTGTTCCTGGAAATGCTAGAAAATATTGTCAAAATGGTACCAGTTGATGGATACTCCACAGAATCCCTAAATAATAAAAAAAGAAGTCTGATCCCAAAATACTATCTACCATTACAAACATGGTGAATATGTAACCATGTCCAGCACGCTATAATATGCAAATAAGATTAACTAAAAGTATGGGCTCTAAAGCTAGTATTTCCAGTTCAAATACCTCTTCAAATTGTTAGCACCAACTAAATCCCTGAGGAGCAAAGGTAATTATAATACAGAAGATTCATGAAGTAAAATCTATTGGGAAGCAAGTAGAAAGTTTTCAGATTTTGACACTAGGTCACCAATGAAGTACTTGATAATCCTAATGTCCTCTCCAAACTTATTTTTCCTCCATGTTAAATTTTTATTTAATTACAAAATATCAATCCAAAAAGGTCTCTGAAAGCCTCCTGTTTTTCCACACCCCTATATCATAGGGAAATTGTTCACAGGAATATGCAGGGAAAAGGACAATACAAAATAAACCTGCAGATTTGATGTTCAGCACCCAACTGACAATTTTGAGTCATTAAATACACCGATTTTTAGAAACTTAAAATCTAATACATTACCACACTTTCACTACTCAGTTTTTCTTTCTGACAAAGATGACATTCTACACTATTACTCTGTCCAACATTACTTTTCCTCATTTTCCTGTCTCTCTGGTTCTCTTTTCATCACAGCCTTCCAGAAAAATGTTCTCATATTTTCCTTCACATACTTAATTAAGAAATAAACACAAAGTAAAGGCTTTAAAAAAAAGGTTATTGAGAATCTGATGGAGAGTAAATGCCAAGTCACACCTACTGCTGGGTAACAAGATCTATATTAGCTTCAACAATCCACACGATATTTGAAAACCGAAGGAAACCCAGATGCTATTCTACACCATCATAGTCTAACAAGGTAGAATTCTAACCAAGAGAGAGAGAGGCTAAAGAAAATACTCAAATTCTTCTGAACCACCAAGTACAAAAGTCTCCCTTTGTAAAAATGATTTCCCCAAGAAAACAAGATAACAAACAAGACAAAAAGAGGCCATTATTCAGATCAATGTAGTCAGTGTCACAATGAAGTGGCTTGAAGTTCATCTCAACATCACCAGATAAATTGAGGCCTTCATTGGTGGCAGCAGGTACTTCATATTGGTACAAATTAAGGGTGGCAATTTGTGTTGATGGATCGTGTACGTGTCGTGTCATCAGTGGTTCGAGGCAAAAAATAGTTAAGCCCTAACCTGATCCATGTAATTAATCGTGCCAAATGACTCAACACTAGGGTTACGATCAAGCTGTGTTCGGGTTGCCCCATGTATATTGTGATTAATAAATTAATAAACTCAAAACAAAGGGCCCATTTGGCAACTCTTCATTTTTTGTTTTAAGTTTTTTTTGTTTTTTGATTTTGTTTTTCAATTAGAGATAGAAAGGAGATATATGGTAAAAAGGAAGGGCTGGAGGAAGGATGGTGAGAGGGAGGGGGAAAAATGTGTATTGCTGCATAAAATGAAACTAAAACAAATATTCATTTTCAAGTCTATGTTTCATTCCTTCATTTATTCCTCACCCTTCCCTCAACTCTTCTTCATCCCTCTTTTCCTTCCTCTATTTCATCTCTATTTCTAACCAAAAACCAAAAACAAAAAGGTTATCAAATGGGCCTTAAGTTTCCTTCATTTCTAAACTAAACTTGTTCTTCATTTCTGAACCAAACATGCCACTTACACATCACAAATAAATTAAAAATTTGCTAAACATGTCCCTTCATTTTTGTCAGCGTGGCTATTTTATCCTAATTAAATCTTCACCCATATTTTGAGAGTATTAACTGATCTTAATATTAAGTTCACTACCACATCTTTGAGTTGAACTTAAATCCTGATATGACAAGAAAACTGTCCACAAACAGTCAAAAGTGCAGCATCAAAGAAGAAAGACCGAAAGATCAGATACTTATAGCTATCTGCAAGTGACCACCAGCCAAGAGTTCAAATCCTAATTCAGACAACAATAATGTTGAAACTAATGATGTAAACAAACTAAAAGAAATTGAGAGAGAGAGAGAGAGAGAGAGAGAGAGAGAGAAGTTATCGGTGGAAGGCAAGTTTCATAAACTTTACGTCTGGAATCTCAATCAATGTGCCCAAAACGAAAATCCAATGACGATACAGAGGCAGTTCAATATAAAATTCTTATAGCTACATAAGCTAATAATTACTATTATAAATCTAAATAACGTATATCAAGATTTCACCCTTCTTCCTAAAAAGTTGATACAGATTCACTTTGCATGATTTCCCATCAACCAAATAATATAAATAACACGATCACTTTTTCACATACCACTCCTTAAGAGCTGATATTTGTTCCATTCAAATTCAAACAAAACCATGATTTATCATTTGATTGAATGCTAAAATGTACCAAAACTAGAAACAAAAAAGAGAAAGCCCTAATCTAGAAACATTTCCAAGTCAGCTCAGACTGAAACTCATGTGGAGTTCCATACAAATGAAAGAAAAGAAAATCACATGGTGTTTACCTTGCAAAAAATTTGAAGGAGACAACATAAGTGCAAATAACTGGACCAATCTACAAACAGCAATGGCGCTTCAGCTTGAACTTGTGAGTGTAATCAGATCAGTGTCATCACCGTGCTATCTGGGAATGAAAAGATCCTAGTCACCATTCCGGGCTGAAGGGCTGTTTTTCTTGATAAGCTGGTTCAAGCAGAAGTTAAGTTTCAAAAAGAGCATCCACAAAGCAATATGCACGGTTTCATGCAACAAAATGGTCGTTTCTGTCCATTTCTGTTAGTGGCCGCCTGTGTTTCAGTTCCATCAGATGACCCAACCAGGCTTTGGCCTGAGTCATGGGCCTTTTTTTGCCCGCCAAGCACCCAATGAGCATAACTGGGAGGACCAATAAGCCAACCTGTCCACCTGCCCATCCGCCCAGCGTTTATAAATCTTTTTAGTTTAATATTTATTTTTTTTAAGTTTCTAAAAGAATCATCTGTCATTTTCTTTCAGTCAATAATATTCAGTATACTCTAAAGTAAACTGTTTTAAAATACTTTGTGTTCATTTATTGTAGAATAACTATAATTAAAGCAAAATCGAACAAGAATTAGATGGTTCTAAGGTCACCCAAAGGCCTGCAGGCAGGGAGGTGGGCCTTGAATTAGAAGGCTCGGCCGTGGTCATCAATGAATAATTTGACAATATATGGCAGTAACCCAACTGTTTTACCACATTTTGACATAATTAAAAAGCTCAGTAAAAAGCATCATGTCAAAGTTCCAGTCACATATATTTACAAAAGAAGAATCCCTTTCTCTAGGATGCAAAAGGGATTGCATTGTTAGGGTCGCCAAGCAATGTGGTCCAGTGATCCGAACTGTCTAAGTTTTAGGTTCAGATTTAAAAATCATCTCTGTAAAAATAATCAAGTAAACCAGACCATTAAAATAAATAAATGATTTTTCATTCAGTTATTATTTTGTAAACTGAATAGGGATTTAACAAATGGACGGCTTAGATTACTGAATCACATTGAGGGTTGGTCCCACAAGCGATTCCCTTTGCTTCTTATCAAAAGGGATCCCTATGTATAAGTTTTCCCTATATATACAGCCACACACATTTGGTTTTAGATTGAAAAAGAGAAATTTCATGAATAGTCTGTGTGTCTAAAAAGGGTACATGCAAGTGACATACAAAGCTCTACTAATATGTGGTGCCATCCCATGCTTTATTTCTTAACTCAAGAGGATGCTGTGCAACACCATCGATGGTGAGAGAATTCTCTTCAAAATCTACGAAAAACCACCATAACGCGCTCTCTCACTGATAGTTAGAGGGAAATAATAAATCAAAGAGAATCTAACCTTGTAGAAATATTTCTTCCGAAGCTTGACCGCTGTGCGGATGCATCTTTTGACACTGATTTTCAGCAAATTATCATTGAAAATCTGCAGTGCATTAAAATAAGTTTCAAGGAAATTATTTAGGAAAAGTAGAAAAACAATCCAAAAATCATGAAGAGTTACAAATCCAACTCAAATAAATTGGATCAGAAAAACCTCTTAACACCACAAGGGCATCACAAAGATCCCCATATCATTACGACACTCCCCGATACAAATCTAATATTTAAAATCCGTATCAATTGATATTTTGACAATTTCACCTATCCAGACAACCGGCACTCGTTAAAGTCAAGAAATAGTTATTTTCAACATTATTTAAAAAACCAATGTCTGTTCTTAATTTTTAAAAACTATAGATATGGAGAAAAAAAATACACACACAGAGAAGAAAAGAGAAGCTCTACTTTCATATCGTCCAACACAACAACCAAGGGCCAAAAGAGGCAGATTATTAAATTCTTTATATATATACATAAGCTTCAGTTGAGGGACACCCTTGTAGAGCCCACCATGCATTGTATTTCACCGATCCGAACTGTCTAGTTTTTAGATATTCCCTCAAAGATCATCTCTGCAAAATATCACTTGAATCCGAAACCATTTGACCACTAATTAGATTGTTGTTATTATAGTATTTTCTTGAAGCACCATGTTCGTGTATTTTGTTGGTCCTAATTAGATTTCTTAATGGTTTTCAATTTGCAAGGATGATCTATGAATGAAGATTTGAAAAACAAACGGTTTGGATCGTTGGAATTTTTTTTGTAATGTACCCTAAAGGGTGTCCCTCAAATAAAATTATTTGAGGGATCCTTCAATAGAAGGGGACTATATATATATATGTACATATGTAACATAACACATATTATTCTATTGGTATACCCATATTCTTGTTTTTTTAAATGTATAGTATCATCTAGCACCGAATCCTGTATCCCCTATCCATTGACGGCAACAGAGAGAATGAGTGATCCTTAAAATTTTTTTTACTTTTTATCCATATGCATGTGGATATGGATATCCATGCAACACAGGAGATGAGTGGTCCTTGGAATTTTTTACTTCTTATACTGTTTATCCATATCCTGTAACCAATATGCTTACGACCAACCTACATTCCCATTTGTAAAATAGCCTCCAATCATACTATATGGATTCTGCAAGACTAGTGGCATCTAGTCTCCACTATGTTGGAGGAGCTCCTGAGTCCTGAGATGAAATCTCACGGATGACAACATTTGAACAAAAAAATGGCATGAGGGAGTGGATTTTCTTCAGACTTTTTTTTTGAGAAATTTTAAAGATACGCCTTTTAGTAGGATTTCTCTTGAGTTTGAAGGTGCATCCTATCCTAGATTCTATGGACTTCTCACACGTTCTACTTATACTTTGTCTCCAATTTTAATAACAAAGTTTGTGTTTCTTATCCCAAAAAGATAAAAGTCAGTGCAGAACTGACCGATCAAAATTATAGACCAGGTAACTGTAAAAGTAACCGAAGAAAACAAACAGAGAAATAAATTAACTAATGCAAAGTACAATATAAAACAGAAAACTCAATATAATGCACCTACCTTTATCATATCATCAATTGAGCGCGTCTGACGAATAATTTTCTGGCGGTTCATGATGAGGATTGCGGCAACGCAGAAGACCGGTAGCTCATCATCCCCATTCCTAGTTGATGAGACTGCAGTGCAGATGTGCATGCGATCATTCTTTGACCAAAAATTCCTTGTCAACCCACAAAAATGATATGTTGATGCTGATTTCATTCCAGTGTCAGACATGGAGTGTTCTGGATTTCCATGATTTGAATGTGAGCCGCCCTTCATATCACCACCACCCTCCACACTTTCACCCCTCATTTCTGCTTCCAAATCCCTAGGAAGCTGTACCACCAAGGCTTCTAGACAGCTGTCCTCTAAATTGTAAGCCAAGGATTCTTGAAAATCAGCAGCCCACATCATCTGCATTTGACATAACTGACAATTTGAATATATACAAATATACATGCTGCAGTTTATGAGGTAAACATGTAGTGGAAAATTTCTCGTTCTAACTTATCATAGAAATTTCTCTTTTATATAAATTATAGAAATACTTTAGTTAAATATTTTTCTGGCAGTTACACACTCCAAAGACCAATTTATTTATTTTTCTTGCTCTTTTCTGATTCCGAGCTCATCATAAGAACTACAATATTAGGAAATATGCCCATAAACCTTAAACCCAACATTATGTGATAAGTTAAACTTAATGAAAAGACAGAGCAAAGCAATCATTTATCCTATGGACTATGGAAACTGCACCCAATTTGTATTTAATACACGTGTAAATAATTTGCATCAAATATGTGCCATAGTTCATCCATTTTGTAAAGCATGTATTATAATTGCAGGTTTTGAGGTCCATATTAACAGTTCATAAATTCATTGGGTGATCTACCATATCAAGCATGACAGAGTAACTAAAGAGCACAAACCTCCCACATACAAAGAGCATCATCAAACGATAACTCCCGACGGAAGAGTACCAGCAGCATCCGAAATGCAAAATGAAGGCTTTCAGCACCTATGTGTGACAGGTGTGCAAACATTTCCCTGTCTGTGAGTTCCAAGATATTCCACAATGCTTGCAACTGCTTCATTACCCCAGTTGGTCCTTCCATCTGAAAATTTTCCCGCTGAATGAAGAGTTTGAAAAGAAAATGTCAGTGATGGAGCATAGAAATATCTACCTCAAAATATATTTGTCAAGTTTAGAATACCATTCTCCTTAGAAGCATTTCAAAGCACCAAAACGCATCAGCATTATCCTCAAACAGGACGACAAATGGAGACAGCAAGTCACTCATACCTAAAAAACAATAATCAGTTAAACTAAAACTTACTTCTGCAGCTTTTGAGATAGAGTGATAATTTTGAATCTTAATTTAAGAGAAAATCATGTGAGGACAGAAAGAGCATTAGAAAAAGAAAACTAATAACAAAAACACAACCTTGACAATATCCGGTTGCTGGATCAACCCACGCATAAACAGCAAGAATATCTGACATCCTAGCTAAATTTTTTGCATCCTCATAGAATTCAAGATGACTGTCTGTTCTTACCACATCAACAACTGAAAGAAAGAAAAAAAAAAAAGACAAATTTTCTCAACTGAAAACAAGGCTTTAAGAGGATCAATCAATGAGAGCAACAACAGTATGAATTATAAGTGAGACTAAGAAAGAAAGGTAGACTTACCTATTCGGTGGAGAGTCCAAAGCCATTCAGATACTCTGTCTTCACTCACGGTCCCTCCTTGAGACATTGTTGTATTTCTAAATTCTGTATCTGGTACATCTGATATTCTCATCCTGTTTACTATTTCTTTCTTATTACCCATATTATTGGACTGCAATACTGAATGATGGGCATCAGTACGAACCATTTCAATTTCAGAGTTAATGGTGCGTGAAACATTCTTGGATGGTGAGCAATTTGATTCAATAACTAAATCTACATTGTTATTGACTTGAAAACTGTGCATGCTGTCCTTTTTCAACCTTGACTTACATGGCGCAGAAAGTTTATCATCAGACACGCGACCTTCATCATCTTCTTCACACTTTTCAAACAAATCAGCGACCGATAAAGTAGGATATTCAAAATAACTTTTTGGTACATATTTTGTTCCATCTGCTTCTCTCCCTAGCTTTGGGGAGCTGCAGTCATGTGGACTAGAAGTATGTATGAAACAAGAAGAATCATATGCTGCACTATCTGTGCTTTCCCTCACACTGACAAGGTCGGCCGACTCACTAGAACTCTCTTGTTGGCATGCATATGATGTATCTGTACAATTATTATTCCTATCACAATAGTTCTCTACTTTGTTAGTATTATCAAAAGAAGTTTGTCTATGTTCAACTTTAGCTTCCCCCCCTTCGTCATCTTTAGACGGTGCCCTAACATCCATAACCTTGGACCCAACAACATAAGCAAGTGAACCAGTTCCAATGCTTGAATGCATCATTTGGCACTGCTTAATCAGGTCCCTGTAACGTTCCCTGCATACAAAAAATTATGAAGACGGTAAATCCAAACAAATCCAAAAGACTGTATTTCAACTGCACTTACTAATTCAAAAGAATTCCATAAGCTGAAAAGAAAATTTCATGGTGCATTTGAACACACGTAATAAAATATATATATATATATATATATATATATATAACCTGAATTACAACTATTGCTCTTGTTACTTTGTTAAATGTTTTTATTTAGTCTCTTTTCTATACTAAGAATAATGCTACTCGTGCAGAAGTTTTATTGCGGAATAGACTTAAACCATGACCAGATGACACCTGGCTTGCCAAGTAGTTTCATGTTATACAGGTTTAGTTTGAGTGGCATGCATGACAAGCCACATAATCAGTCACGTCATGGAGTAAAATGATTCTGGAAAAGTTTTGCATTTTCCTTCAGAGAAAAAAAAAAGAAAATATTTTGCATTTTCCTAATAGTGAATGGAAAGGTGCTATATGCCCTGCATGTGACCTCATATCCACTTGGCAACATCTTTGTTTTCAGATAGACCCATATTGAGAGTGATATGCATGACAAGCCACATAAACAGTCACAGAATGGAGTAAAATGATTCAGGAGAAGTTTTGCATTTTCCTTTAGACTAAAAACATAAGAAAAATTTCTCATTTTCCTTATGTGTGAAAGGAAAGGTGCTATATGCGCTGCATGTGACCCCATATCCACTTGGCACCATTTCTTTCCAAATTGGCCCATCATTGACCACATCAAGGACACTGAAAGCAGATGAGGGCCTGGAGTAAGCTATCAATTGCCTGACACATAATCCATGGACAAGTGAAACTTTGGGGTCTCCATATAAAACACCTGTTACATGCCCCAAAAGTATCTATATCGACGTGTTTAATCACCAATAGAATAAGAGTTTTAAAGAGAAATCTATCATAAAAGTTAATTAAAAATATTAAGAAGAAAAGGACCTCCGGGCTGTCCGCAACTGCCTTCGAGACTCCGCAGTACTACCCAGAGCATAACAACCAAGTAAAAATTCCCACACTTCTGGCCTTATAGATTGATCAACGCCCTATGAAGCAGCAAAAAGTTCCATTACAATTATAAGTTAGAAAGTCTTTGATTACATCATCTTCAAGATAGAGATTTTAACACTTCAAATCACAAATTATCAATTTCAACATGTTTAAAATGACATGTCTAAAACAAAGCTCTATTTCATAAACAAAACAAAAGCAATCAACCAGACTAAGATTACCATATATGCCAATAAAATACCACCTGAACACTTAAATGTTTACGCTAGAGTGAAATGAGAGAATATACACCAAAAATGCCATGCCTAGCCACAGTTGGTAGTACAAGTGGTAGAAAATAAACAAATATGTGCAACTTCTCTTCAAAAGCTTTGACCACATATCTGAAGACTTAGATGTAATTAATTGAATAGCTGTCACAGATAGAGGTCATCTGTAACTCTAATACTGCTGCCACCACAAATCACGATCTCACTATGTGTACAACAAATTTATCAAAAAATATAACATAAGTAGACAGTTAATTATAAAATATGAAAAAATCAACTGAAACAAAATAAAAAAGAACTCCCTACAAATTAGGCCCAAATTATATTCAACTGTAAACCAACATACCCCCAATACTATTAATTTGAGTGCCTTCTGAAAACAAAAATTCTTCCCATCGCTATCAAATGTTGCCTGCCACTTCTCCGGTTTAAGCATTTTGTTCACCTGAATCATTCGAAAATAAAACGACAACGCTCTATAAATGAATACAATCATGAATAAGAAGAAAACTTATGTGATAATTTAATTACATGGAAAGAATAGCATGCATGAAAAAAGTTAAAACACCTTTCTTCAAAGACCAAATCTGACAAGCATCATGCTCCCTCAGTCTTTAAATTGTAATGGAGATCTACTACTCATTACCATAATTATATACAATCAGAAATGAGAATAAAATGTAGGTGGTAATTTAATTACACACAAAGGAGAACACATGAGAACAAAAATTAAACACTTTCTACTGAAAACAAATTCAGAAATGTATCATGCTCCCTCAGTTTTAAATTGTAATGAAGAGCTTCAATTTCACACCAAAAAATTAGAAAGACTAGAAGTTTACAGAAAGTCGTAAATTGTGATGGTGATGAAGTACTAGGAGCTAACACATATTTCAAGAACTGGTCTCTCAGTTTCTAGAATAAATACCAACGTAAACACCGCTTGGCCCTATATGCTCCAGCAAAACTAGAAACAAGGCTTATAATATTTTCCCCCAACTCATTCCTTCTGTCCAAAAAGATTTGTAGATGTTTAAAATAAAATACATAAGAAAGTCTCAGAAGTTTTTTTTCATCTTTTTTTCTTAACAAAACAGGAAGCAGCAGGCCACCTGAGGATTGAACCACGAAGCTCACACTTGACCCTTATTCTTAAAGGGGAGGGGATTCCACTAGAACGAAGGCCCAAAGTTTGAGTAAGCATGATATCTGTTGCTACACCAGGACATTTGGATGCTTTGAAATGGGGTAAATGGCTTTAGTAGAATGTCTATATAGAGATAGATTGTCACTTAAGAAGGGTTCTAAGATATGTTACCTCGTTTTGGTCCATATATTTGAATAACAGTGATATCCTAGATATTATAAAGGTAAATACAAGGTGGTTGTACTATCAATTTTGAAAAAATGAAATGCTTTAACAACAACAAAAGTATAGAAAAAGTGTTTCCAGAAGAGAAGTCAGAATTTGATGCAGCCACCAAAAAACCCCCGGAAAATCAAGATCAAAGAATTGTTTGAACATATTGTCCAATGCAATAAGGGTCTAACTCTTTGAGAAATGCAAAGCTTTTCACTCAATGGAGCCAAATTTTCTCAGCAGTGGTAAAGATGGAAATCAAACATGCTTAGAGCTCGAGTTCATATGTCCAGAAGTAGTTTATTTATTAGTAACTATCTAAGTCTTATAAGAGTTATTAATATCGTCAGAGTCCATTGAGTTTCCTAAGTGCATTCTTTATTAGAAGTCAAGAAGAATTACAACCCTCTATAAAAAAAAAAAATACCACCCACATTATGGTGGCCGATTAATGATCCACTCCTCACAAATTGTTCCAGCCTAGTCATGACCCTACATTCATATGTAGCACCCTCATCCTTGTCTAAGAGGACCACACTATTAGAAAGATTAAGACGCAGTGTAATATTACTTTTAATGCCTCATCCTTGTCCCAGAGGCGCAAACTATTTGGAAGATCAAGATGTAGTTTGTGACAATTGGAGCATTAACCGACCAAAAAGGCACAAGTGCTTCCTCACTATGGTGCATGATATGGTCAAATAAAACATGATGGAATGTAAAATCTCACATCAGCCGCAAGCCAAATCCTAATATGCTATATGAGCTTGATTTGACCTGAAAAAGGGCATGGCATCACAATGGTGTAATAAACAACTTTTGCAGGAAACTCCTAGAGTCCCTGCCTGATTTATTTTTCCCTCCCCCAGAGGGAAATGTTCTCTTGCAAGATTGTAAATCTGTAACACACATTCAGATAAGAAAATCCACCTGATCAATGGTTCCAATCAATAGTCTAACAGTATGGAATGCCAAACTATCTGAAAATGGAGCATTACAACATATATATGTGTGTGTGAAATTCAATGTTCTCATACTTAATCAGATATTGAAAACGAACGAACCCGAATCCAAATAAATACATAAAATGCACAAAGACAAATATAACTAATGTGAGAGTCTTACAGCCATAACCACCTTTATAGGCGACTGCGAGAGGCATGGGTCGCCAATGTCACGGACAATTGAACCAACTCTTTGCAAATTAACAGCGGCACCACATTTCCCACAACCCCATTGCTTATCCTCTCCACCTCCACAAGGCATACCAATGTCACAGTCCACCAAAACCAAAACCCACCAATACCAATACCACTACCTCTCCTCTTCTCCTTCTCCTTCTCCTTCTTCTTCTCCTTCACCTCAACCTCCACAACTACCATTACACAGTGGGAAAAAAGGAAAAAACTCAAATACCCAAATCCAGATATCCAAATAACTGCAAAGGAAAATTCAACAAGCAAGAAAATTAAAAATTTATGGTGCAAATGAATCAACGAAAATGGAGAAATTTGTGGAAATGAAAATTGAAATCTGCAATCGGATCCAGGAATTGATTAGTGATCAAACGGTGATCAGATCATTGATACAAATGTTTGTGTGCGACTTTGTGTTTGTATATATCAAGAGAGAGAGAGAGAGAGAGAGAGAGAGGAGCTTTACCTGAGGAAGAGAGGCTACGAAGAATAGCATGAGATCTTTGGAAGAGAGAGAGCGTTGAGGAGGAGCTCCTCCGTCGCCATTTAACACACAAATTAAACCGTTTTTGTTGCATTTCCCCTGCGTTTTACCCTTTCTTTTTTTTTTTTGCCTATTTCTTTTTTCTTTATTTTGTTTTTTATTTTTTTATGCTTCAATTCGACTTTTGTTTTCTTTATTGTGACGCGCAAGTGACTTGAATAGTTCAATTTCGGTATTATTTTCTACTTTCACAATTGACGGCTTGACAAGACAGCAACCATGAATTGAATTAGTCCACAACTAAAAATCTCGATTTTTTTTAGAAAAAGCAATAGTAATTAAAGGTCTCTTTGATAACCATTTCAGTTTTCAGTTTTTATTTTTCAATTTCTAGTTTTCAATTTTCATTTTTTTAAATTAAAAATTAAAAATTTGTTTGGTAACTATTTTTAGATTTCAGTTTTATGTGGACCTTGAAAATGAATTTTTTTTGGGTCAAATTGTGAATTTCATGTGTGGTGATGTAAAAATAGTGAATAAAAAATTAGAGGAAAAAAAATTGAAAACTAAAACTAAAACCACTTTCAAGTTATTTTAAAAAATAAGTGTGATTTTCAAAACTAGATTTCACTTTTTTGAAAACTGAAAATGAAATCTGTTACCAAACATGTTTTCAGTTTTCAAAAAAAGTTAAAATGAAAATTGAAAACTAAAAATGAAATGGTTATCAATCCCTAAGTTATTAATTGTAAAATTGATTACACATTTGACTTCTTCTATATCTTTAGAAGAATCGAGCAACATAATTGTGGGACTATAATTTATTAGTGTTTGTACCAAAATTTGTACTTTTGTCCAATTATGCCAAAATACATGATCTGGAGAATTTTAAGGAAATTATTTGTCGTGCATGTCAAATGGAGGAAAATCTAGGAAATTTTTAAAGATATTTTCATAATTTTATGGAATAATTTTTAGAAATTATCTTTGATTTGCTTGGAATACAAGATAAATAATAATTTCTAGATTCATGCAATATTTAAATGACCAAAATACGGCTATTTATTTTATTTGGAAGGAAATAAATATTAGGTGGTAACTTTCTTTACACCAAAGATAACGATTTGAACCAAGGTGGTTGGTGTGAGTGGTTCGGCACTCTCATTCCTTAAGAGAAGGTCAGGGGTTCGATCCCTGCTCTCGTATGGAGTCACCACTTTGGCCAGCACTTTACCCCTTACGGGCCGACCCGGTGTGAGCGGGGATTAGTCTGGGTTGTGGTTAAGGCTTAAAGGTGCCACCCATAGTTGGGGCCCATCCAGGACCACCTCGTGGTTCAAACCAAAAAAAAAAAAAGATAACGATTTGAAAAGATTTTTCCAGGATCTATATGGAGCTAAAATAGGAGCAATTCTGCAATACGAATTCTTGAGCGCCAAGTATTCTTGCTATTAAAGTTTGGTCAACATGCTAGTTTATAAAGAAGATCAAGAGAAGAAGAAAGGCTCACTCTCTCTCTCAACACATCTAAACACTTACACATATGTCAAACATATATGTTCAAAGATCCCTATAGATTTCTAAGATCTCCAATTGACAACTCATGGGAAACTTTTCACATAATTTTCATACTGGGTTTGGGGTGATTTTCAATATGAGTTATAGGGTTTCAATTTTATCAATTTACACCACCACATCATTAAAAGTGACCAATTTCAACCCTTCGTTAAGTTGACCGTATGGTCAAACATTAATTGATGACGTGAATACTGTAGGACCCACCTCATGAATTGACTAACCACTTACACTAAGTATACCTCCTTTTAAAAAAAAATATTAAAATCTATTGAGGCCCAAAAAATCCATGCTTCGGCTCAAATAAATTCTCGGCCCAATGTAATACCTTACCAAGAATAAACCCGATTTGGGCACGCGAAAGTTCATCATATGCGCTTGCACACATGCCATGTCAAGCGACACGCCACGCCAAGCAAGGAATTATTATTCCGCACCTAATCACGCCACAAACTTAAGTGGGCCCCAAGCCACTCAAATACCCGGGGCTTGCTTGAGTGAGTTGTGATATGGATGGAAATAAATCAACATGAGGCCCATTGATGGGTTGAGAAATGGAAGTCTCAAGTTGCTTGGGAACCTCGAGACTCAAGCCCATTTCTTAGGCCCAAACATATGGGTGAGCACAAAAGAGGAAATAGCTCATTAGCTTAACCAAATTAGCCCAACACCTCAACAAAAATAGTCCAACACTTGTTGAGGTTAGCCCATTTATTTTGATAAATCAACTCATTATCTTAGAAGGCCCATACAATTAGAAAAGAGAAGAAGCCAAAGCCTCAGCTCCTTGCTGGAAAAAACAGAAGCCACGAAGGAGATGTCCACATATGCAGAGTTGCTGGAAAAGAACAAGTTCCAAGCACAAAACACCCGAAGAACCAAGGGGTATTAATGTGCAAGCTGTCAGGAAGAGAAGCACTCTTCGAACTAGCATACATACCCCAATTCCTTCCCCCATCAGACCTGGCCATGGAAAATGAAAGAAAGAAAGGAATGAGATGGCTAGGAATGGAAGTCTCCCACTGAAACAACTGCGGGAAAGGGGGCCTTGAGCTCCCAAAATTCCTGATTTTGTGCAAATAGATAGAGGAAATTTCACCAAGATAGAAAAGTCAAGGGAGGAGAGGAGAAAGGAAGAAAAAGCTTGGCCAAGTTGGGAAGAAACCATTAGGGTTTCTTGGGAAAGGATAGTTTCCAACAAGTTATAAAATGAGGCCTCTTCTACCCAACAAAACTCAACTCAGATTCAGAGAGCAAGCTTTCTCTCTTACCTGCAAAAACCCAGCAATTTCGTGCACTATTCACCCTTCTTCTCCATTTCCCTCTTTTGGCAGACCACTTTCACATCTGTCAGAAGATTTGTCAAGCTACTGGAAGAACATTGTTCTTTCTTTCTTTCTTCTCAGCCAAATCAGCCTGCAAACTTCTTCTTCCTCACCTTAAACACTCCCATTTCTCCCTAGGAAGCCATATTTTCCTCTTTGGTGCTAAACTCATGATGATTTTGCTTCCATGTCATAAGCCTCTCATGCCAGGCTAGAAAATTTATCTATAAGCATCAAGAAATCATCTGTAAGCAGCCATTATTTTCGTTGGTGAAGGTAACCAGAACGCTTCCTAAGGCTTTACTACCCTTTCGAAGCGCTTTTGGGGTTTGATTTTCGAACTCAGACACAGAGGCAATTTCAGCAATTTCCCTTTTACGACGGCCCAGCCCATTTGCAGCTGCTGGAAGAGAAAGCCCATACAAAATCCATTATATTAAATGATAAAATAAGATAAAAATTAAACAACCTGTTAAAAAATATTTGGAAAAAAAAAATAATTCATATCCAATCGCACCATCCTAGCCCCTGTCCCATTCCCAAGACGCAGCCCCACCTCGACATTCCCCACTTCCTCTCTTATTGTATCTATGCTCTCTATCAACCCCATCTCTCACAATTCAGTGGCATTGCCAAACCATCTCACCTTCAAAAAACAATCCATCTATCCATCCAATTCATCATCCAAATAGAGAAGAAAGGAAAATAGGAACAACCAAAACAACCAACCATAACCCCCAACATCAAGCCATCCAACCTCTTTCAAAATATGATCAAGCCACCCATAGCCTCTAAAAAACTAATTCTTTCTCGGTGAAATCAACTGCACCACCATCATTCATCAATCTAATCTCACAACACATCCACCTACAAAAGCATGAGAAAAGCCATCTTGAATGGAGTCACCGATGTAATCTCCCCCACGTTGACCACCGCGCCACCATGCGACACATGCCATGTGCCACTCAACTCATGAGGCTCTGACCTACGAAACCCAACCGCACCAACCATACCCGATAGGGTCGTTGTAGATTTTTTAAAAATAAAAATAAAAATCTTTTTTATTTTATATAATTGATTTTATGATTTTTTTTTTAAAGGAGACTAGTGAGTCAATTTATGAGGTCGGGGTCCCACAGTATCCATGTCATTAATTTACGTCTGACGAGACAGTCAGCTTAATGGAAGGTGTAAATTGGTCACTTTTAATATGTTAGGGTGTAAATTGATGAAATTCCAACCTTGTGGCCCATATTGAAAATGACCCCAAACTTCCAGGGTGTGAAATGTCGTTACCCCTAACTTTTATTTTTATTGCTCTGCCATATGTTGGAATGATTTCCAACTGACGTAACTTCCAAGTTGTGATTATTGCTTGATGCTACAATAATTATGAATCGAGAATCTTTTCTGCCCGAATTCAGTTTTACTGATTTTCGTAAATTTAATTTCCTTAATATTTTTTTTTTCTTTCCATTTTATAGCATGATTGTTGCAATTGATTATTCATCTTTCCATTTGGCTATTTATAGTCAGGTTATTCAAGGCGCATATTATCAATTATTCATCTTTCTTTTAGGCTATTTATAATACTAATGGTGGCACACTTGCGCAATATAATCTCTTACCTATTTCTAGGGCTGGGGCGATTTTGGGGCAAGCATTTTTTGGCACGCCTAGTTGGACTTCTATAGTACAAGATTTGAATCATGAATCAATATGGTCACAACAACTATAATTCGAACTACAGTGAAGACGATGACAATAAGTGGCCAAACTATGGCTATAATCCAAATTAGTATTATTATTAACAATAATGGTAGTCAATACAGCTACAAGCAAAAAGTATACATACATAAAGTTATCTAACTTGTAAAGAATTAAAAATTTGAAGAAAGATTTAGGGAGCGCAAGCAAAAGGAGAGAATAGGTTCTAATCCCGTTGGGATTTCACAGCAAAGAAGAGTGGAAGAAGAAAGAATGAGAGATAGAGCAAGAAAGATTTAGATTTGGGGTTCTTTCCCTGGATCTCGTCAAATATGGGAGCATTGGTGGACTATGATGTTTTTCCTTCCTTGTTGCATATCTGGTTGTACATGCGTTAGATCTAGATGGCTTAGGCTGTGAGAACCATCTTGTGAAGCACCTTTGGTGTGTTGCCGCTTTTTTAGTTGTGTTTTGTTGAGTTTCTTT